CGTGATGTCCTCCTCACTTCCCTCTTAAAGGCAGGGATCACGATGGCTAGAGGGCGTCGCGGTTTTGATGACGTCATCGAACGTCAAAGGTAGAAGAGCATTGAGGGGCAGTCTCAACCACACCGACCAACGTGGTGAAGAGAAGGTTTACCAATAACTATCAATGACGTCATCAGAGCAGCACCGCCCCTGCCCTAGTCATCGTGCTCACTGCCTTTAGTCCCATCTCCGTTTTTTGTAATGAAATTGAATAAATAACACAATGTTCCGCCTAAAGATAAGTAGAGTAAGTCATAAGTTTTACCTAGGGAGAGAAGATGTGGCGGACTGAATTGTAGGCTGGCTACTCCGCTGTCCGAACTCGAACTGCTCGTCCGTTCGTCTCGATAGGCGTACCATCGATGGAATATCACAGCATTGGATGTCATCGGTACACGTGGCTGAAAAGAGCGTAGTTTATAATTGAAGAGGACCATCACTTGCTAACAAATACAGTGGGAACCGTCATTCTGCACACCATTGGAGAGATACTACGACATTGTTCTGCCGCCAAGCTCATACCAACAAAAACATTGGTCCTAGGATCGGATCGATTGAGGAAGTCTCCTCAGAGAATCTCGCTAATCTAAAAACCTTTGCGAGTATCTACTGTAATGATACCAAGTGAAGCTGCACGTTGCTTCTGATAATCTCTCAAAAGACTGTTTGGTTCATGTCAGAGGCGGAGTTTACGATCACAAGGCAGTCCACTAAAAATCAGGTAGATGTGGCCAGAGATACAAGTATTAAGGAGAAAAAACTAAGAAAACCGGCAGAGAACCTGAGAATGGGACACCTTTTCGTCTATCTTTTCCGCGCTGGGGCGAGCTTCATTGGTGCCGACGTCAACAACGTGAACGTGAACGCTCTGCACTGCCTCTCTGCCAAATGGCTAATGTCCGCGGTTAGAATGCGACCGGCTAGGGACTAATCACTCAGTGGGCACGTACCGTCGCTAGCGTCGCACGTACGGCTCCTGCTAAGGTCTTAGCCTTCACTGCAGGACGTGCATCGTCTCGCAGTCTTAGAGGTCCCGCCTAGGTTCGAGTACGTCTCCGCTTCGACGACCTCCGGCTTATCGTGGAAGGTTTTCCTGAACCCAGGTGATTCTCTTCGCGAAATAACAAAGCACCTCCATTGGGACATATGCTTATGCGTATTCGAAATGAAAAGGAAGAGTACAACCATTCGAGGGGACAACGAGCTATTTTTAGTTTTTAGTTTCCAACTATATTAGGATTTTGATTGGTTTTCCTTGGAAAAATGAGATGAAAATGCATCTCATGAAGTCAATGTTCGTTCTCGGTTATGGTGCTAGAGGATTTCCTAACATAATGAACT